GGCTCAGAAAAAAACTATGTGCAGAAAAAGAGAAAATAAAGCAAAATACTAACATTTGGAAAATAATCCACACAAAGGGTTATAGACATTTTATAGTAATAGTTTGAAGCTTTTCTACATATAAATTATAACTTCAATTATTTTAATTTAAAAGCTAAACGAAAACTTGTTTAGAACTCAACAGATGGGAGAGCAGAAACTGGCTGTCTACTGATTTAGTCTTTCCATGTAAATGCCTTTAAGACATGACCAACCCAAAAATGAATTAGTCCCACTTTCTACTCCTAATTATTCAAATGTTTCTAAATATTACCACTTATAATGTAGTTAATGTGGATTACTCAACATAGTTTCTTCATCAATGTCATTTCTTCTGTGATTACTTGTTGTGTGGGAAAACTAGCTTGAGGAGGAAAACTGCTTCCATTCAAGCTGATTACTTCTTCTTCACCAACCAAGATTCCAATCCAGTCTCCATCCGAAAGCTCATGCTAAAAACAAGGCAAAGAAAACAAATTTTTTATTCACATGTTTCCACTCAGTTGGTCATTCCATCCAAGCCATGATCCAAGTATCAAAGAATAATACAATTACCCTCTGCCTACACTGTTGGGTCCTATAGAGAAAAATCACACAACCACTGACTGATACCACTAATTTGTGGTTATCAATTTCATATGGGCTCTCAATGCAACTACTTCAATATACAAGCATGATTAGCTTCCAGCAAGATTCTTCACAGCCGATTAACATCTCAAAACCAAAACACTCAATCCTATCTAACCTTAATCATCCTCCAAGATCATTAAATAACCTGTCAAGTATCAGGAAGAAACACATGCTACTCAGCATTCATTTCCCAACTTTCAGTTACCTTTCCCACACTTTCCACTCCTTTTTCTCCGCCCATCCAAGCTGAACTGCTGCTTTCTAACCCCTAATTATCCCACTATACATTTGGCCATGCTTTACCCTTATGTCTTCAGTCTTTCTTTCCCACTGGATCCTTATTTTTTAACATAAAAACTTATAGTTCTTATTTCAAAAGTAATAGTAACTACAAGAAAAAACTTGCTTCCCTATACCCCTATCTTTTTTTTTCTTTTTTCTTTTCTTTTTTTCGTTCCCTATACCTCTGTCTTAAGTAAAAAATAAACAAACACTTCTTGGAATTCTTATTATCTGATTTACCTGGGCCCAAAAACCTGGCAATCTCCCAAATCAAAAATCATTGTACCAACATATGCAGTTATAAAGTACCTACTAGCTTTATTGAATGTAAACAGAACACATTTTAAAAATCCATAATATACATAGTTCAGTTTCTAGAATGCATCCGTTTTTTCATAGTTTTCTGAAATTACTTTTTAGATCCCTGACATGCTTGGACTCAACAACTTCTGATTTATAAATATCAACACAGAACACGTACACGTCAATAATGAAAATCAATGGGCAAAATTTTCAGCACATTGCTTCCCCTACACTGTATGTTGGAAACAGTGATTCTACCATTTCTATTATCAATCTAAACTGGCTTAATTATTACATGGTAATCTTCATTCTGAGTCTTCTCCTCATCTTCTTCATCCTCTTTGGCCTCTCTTACAGAAGCTGTAGTAGGATCACCTTCAAGAAGCATATCAGAGCATGACACAGACTTCTTAGCTCTTGTCTCGGGAGTATCATCATTTTGAGGGCTAAGATGATTATCTGGTGGTGACAAATCTCTTGATTTCTGAGTTCGAGATAGCTCAATGGTAAGTCTCTTTTAAAACAAGAACAGTACAAATTAGCATTAATTTTAAACAGGGCTCACTGGTACAGTAAAATATGTTTCTAAAATTGATTCTGATGTTCCTGGAACTACTTTTTGAACTTGCTGTCTCTCATCTCCTCCTACCTGTTATTTATGGAAAAAAAAAAAACAAAATCTATGAGAAAGTTAACCTGTTCCATTTACTTTTATCCTTCTTTCATAACCAGCCCAGGTTACATATATAGTTCATAAACTGTATAGAGAATATAGGCAAGATTGTTTTTTGTTTGATTGGCTTTGGTGGGGGGGGGGGAGTGAGGATGGAACCTAAGATACTGCACATGATAGGCAAGCACTGTGTAAGTTACATCCCTGGCCCTGGTAGTTTTAAACAGTACACTTAACATGAAAATCTCCAAAAGTATGTATTTATTCATATTTTCTCAGTACTCCAAACTTCTCACCTATCTAAAGTTTAAATGTAGACAAAGAAAAATTCTTCACATAATTTTATCATAATAAAATAAAAATTCATTAAAGGATCTTCCCTAGTGCTTGCTTATTCAACAACAGTTAAAGTTCAAAATGGGGTAACTATTAATTATTCTAGCTTGAAGTACTTTAAAAACAAGGACAGGCTTGTGAGAAGAAAATCATGTCAGGACCACTGAGAGAACATAAAAGTTTGCCTTAAACCTTGCCCAGTGCTTGGAAGGAAAGCCGGTAGCAGAGGCACCCCTCCCACCGCACAGGAGAACTCTGAGCAAAACAAAGCCTGTGGGACCAGGTGAGTGCTAAGCTCACCCAGAGATCTGCATAAATAACGCCGCCAGTACAGGCTGAGAGCAGCAGGCAGGCAAGCCACAGTTGCAGATACCACTCTCAGAAACTGCCTCCAGACGCTTTTTTTCTTTTTCTCCCTACCTTTGATGAGGAGAAACAACCGAATTACACCTGCAACGAAAAACTTACTGAAACTATTGCATTTGAATGGGGAACTTGGTGGGGCTTTTTTTTTTTTTTTTTTCTTCTCGTGTGTGTGAGTGTAGTTTTTTCTACTTTATGCATCCCCTTTGATGAGACAACTACAGAACAACATCTGAGCACCAACTCCAGGACTGGAGATTGAACGACATCCAAATTATTAAGACTGAATTGCATTGCATATATTACTTGGAAGTTTTTTGGTTTTTTTGTTTTTTGTTTTTTTTTTAATTTTCTATTTTCCATTTTATTTTAATTCATTTTTATAAATAGATATTACTTATCATAATACTTATTTTTTTATTTTTTTATCTTTGATTTTCAATCCTCTCTCTGTCACTCTATTGTCTGTTCAGGCTTACTGTCGAATTAGTACACTAACACTCCCTGTTTATACCTTTGAAACTCTCTTGTCTGATACCTTGTTCTGCTTTCTCCCTCTTGTCTGTATATTGTTTTCCCCTTTTCTTTAACTCTTGCTTTCCATCTCAGCTCACTCTTCCATTCTCAATATTACCATTGTTATTATTACAAGCTAGAAATACTTAATTACACACAGTACGAGGACAGTAACAACACCAAGGACAATGACAGGAAGACAAGAAAAAAACAAGGGAAACCAGTTTCCCCACAGCAAAAAAATTAGTACAGGAACCAGAGGGAATGAAGAGACAGAAACTCAGAGCCAGACTCCAACAAAAATGAAGATAAACTATGCCAAAGGACCCAATGAAGCCACAAGAATAATTTAAAAGAAGACATACTACAAAGTACTCAATGAGAATTTTATAGAGATGATACTGGATAGGGTCAACCAAAATGTACAGGAGACACTCAAGAAATTCCAAGACAATAAAAATAGAGAATTTGAAAAAGCAAAAGAAGAAATAAAGGAAACCATAGAAGCACTGTATAACACCAAAGTGAAAGAGAGAACACAATGAATAAATGGATAAATGAACTCAGGACAAAAATAGACAACAATAAAGAAAAAACAGCCAGGATATGGAAAACCTCAGAAAAAAGAACGAAAGAGAACTGCAAAACAAAACGGAAGGCCAATCCAGACGAATAGAACAAACAGAAGACAGAATCTCAGAACTTGAAGATGAAGTGGTAATTACAGGAAAAACTGAAGAACTATTAATTAAACAACTCAAGACCTGTGAAAAGAAAATGCAAGAACTCACTGACTCCATCAAAAGACCAAACTTGAGAATCATGGGCATCGAAGAAGGAGAAGAGGTGCAAGCGAAGGGAATGCGTAATATATTCAACAAAATAATAACGGAAAATTTCCCAAATCTAGAGAAAGATATTCCCATACAAATGCAAGAGTCCTCCAGGACACCAAACAGACCAGATCAAAATAGAACTACTCCACGACATATCATCATTAAAACAACAAGTTCAGAAACTAAGGAAAGAATATTGAAGGCTGTAAGAGAGAAAAAACAAGTAACATACAAAGGTAAACCCATCAAAATCACAGCAGACTTCTCAACAGAAACATTAAAGCAAGAAGAGCGTGGGGTGAGATCTTCCGGGCACTGAATGAAAATAACTTCAACCCCAGGATACTCTACCCAGCAAAGCTATCATTCAAAATAGATGGAGCAATAAAAGTCTTCCATGATAAGCAGAAACTAAAACAATATGTGACCACAAAGCCACCATACAAAAATTCTGCAAGGGTCCTGCACACAGAAAGTGACACCCAACTTAACCATGAAAAGGCAGGCAGCACCAAACACAGGATAAAAAAAGCAAGACAGTAGAGAGTAACATCAAGTTAGGTACACATCAAACCTCAAACAACTAAGATAACTAAATGCAGGAATCACCACAACCTATCGTACTAACAACTTAATGTTAATGGACTTAAGTTCACCCATCAAAAGACACCGTTTGACAAAATGGATTAAAAAAGAAGATCCAACAATTTGTTGCTTACAGGAGACTCATCTCACCGACAGAAATAAGCATAGGCTTAGGATGAAGGCTGGAAGAAGATTTACCAAGCCAATGGCCCCCCGAAAACAGCAGGAGTAGCAATACTTATCTCTGACAAAGTAGACTTCAAACCTACATTGATCAAACGAGATAAAGAAGGACATTCCATACTAATAAAAGGGAAATAGACCAAAAGGAAATAATAATCATCAATCTGTACGCACCCAATGTCAACGCACCCAATTTCATCAAACATACCCTGAAAGACCTAAAAGCATATATAAACGCCAACACAGTTGTGGGAGACTTTAACACTCCATTATCATCAATAATAGGTCATCCAAACAAAAACTCAATAAGAAATCCAAGATCTAAAATTGCAATAGATCAAGTGGACCTAGTAGATGTCTACAGAACATTCATCCAACCTCTACACAATATACATTCTTCTCAGCAGCCCATGGAACCTTCTCCAAAATAGATCATATCCTAGGGCACAAAGCAAGCCTCAGCAAATATAAGAAAATAGAATAATACCATGCATACTATCTGACCACAATGCAGAAAAGTAGAACTCAACAACAAAAGTAAGACAAAAAACATGCAAACAGCTGGAAACTAAATAACTCATTACTTAATGAAGAATGGATCATCGATGCAATAAAAGAGGAAATTAAAAAGTTCCTGGAAGTCAATGAAAATGAAAACACAACCTACCGGAACCTATGGGACACAGCTAAGGCAGTCTTGAGAGGAAAGTTTATAGCCATGAGTGCATATATTAAAAAGATTGAAAATCCCAAATCAATGACCTAATGATACATCTCAAACTCCTAGAAAAACAAGAACAAGCAAATCCCAAAACAAATAGAAGGAGAGAAATAAAAAATAAGAGCTGAAATTCAACGAAATAGAAACCAAAAAAACCATACAAAGAATTAATGAAACAAAAAGTTGGTTCTTTGAAAAAATAAACAGATCGATAGACCCCTGGCAAACCTGACTAAAATGAGGAGAGAAAAAAACCCAATTAGTAGAATCAGGAATGCAAAAGGAGATAACAACAAACACCATGGAAGTCCAGAAATCATCAGAGACGTTACTTGAGAACCTATATTCAAATAAATTTTGAAAATCTAAAAGAAATGACAGATTTCTAATACATATATCATCCAAAACTGAACCAGAGGAAATTAATCACCTGAATAGACCTATAACACAAAATGAAATTGAAGCAGCAATCAGAGTCTCCCCAAAAAGAAAAGTCCAGGACCTGATGGATTTCTCTGCTGAATTCTATCAGGACCGTTAAGAAGAACTGATACCAACCCTCCTTAAACTGTTCCACGAAATAGAAGGAAGGAAAACTGCCAACACATTTATAAGCCAGTATTACACTTATCAAAACCAGGCAAAAGACACCTCCAAAAGGAGAACTATAGCCAATCTCCTTAAGACATTGATGCAAAAATCCTCAACAAAATAATGGCAAATCGAATTCAGCAACACATCAAAAAGATTATTCACCACGACCAGTAGGCTTCATCCCAGGATGCAGGGTGGTTCAACATACGAAAATCAATAAACGTAATAAACCACATTAACAGAAGCAAAGACAAAAACCACTTGATCATCTCAATAGATGCAGAAAAACCTTTGATAAGATCCAACATCATTTCATGAAAAAGCTCTAAGAAACTAGGAATAGAAGGAAAGTTCCTCAACATTATAAAAGCTATATATGACAAAACTACAGCCAGCATTATACTTAACGGAGAAAAATTAAAACCATTCCCTCTAAATCAGGAACCAACAAGGATGCCCACTATCTCCACTCCTATTCAACATAGTACTGGAATTCCTAGCCAGAGCAATTAGGCAAGAAGAAGGAATAAAAGGAAATACAAATAGTAAAGAAACTGTCAAAATATCCTATTGCAGACGACATGATCCTATACCTTAAAGACCCAAAAAAACTCTACTCAGAAGCTTCTAGACATCATCAATAGCTATAGCAAGGTAGCAGGATATAAATCAACATAGAAAAATCATTAGCATTTCTATACACTAAC